TAGGCAAGAGGCCGTCCGTCGGCGCCACACGTGTGAGGCCGACGTCGCCATACCCGTCGTGCGTGTGTTTTTGCAATTCGGCGTTGGATAGGCGTGCGGAAAAGCCACGGGCAGGGCGCCCAGTCGTGCAGCATAGCGGATCCGTCATTCACAACAAGCGTCTTCTCTGGAGACGTCGATACCCTGCCACTCAAGCCGTCATGCCGGCGATACCCTTGACACGAGCTGTACAGTCATTGATGCTATATCTGCTCATCATTTCACGAGGTCATGACCCCCGGTTAATGTTTAACAATCTTGGCACTTTCTTCTCTTTCTTTTCTACCAGATGCGGCAGAGGCCGATGACCGACTCAGATTCTATACTTGAATTTTCTTTTCCTTTCGTCTTCTTCCAACTTCCATTCTCGTCTGTCTCTTGCTGTCATATTCCGTGTACATAAGAGTTTCAGACCAGTCTCCGGCGGGCAGCAGCCATGTCGAGCAGCCTTGGCTCACTTCCTTGTCATCTCTTCCCGCCGATGTTCCTTTGCCTGGTCAAGGACGTGGCGACAGCCAAGCATGAAAAAACGTGGAAGTGGTCCATGTACTTCGAGATGCGTGGCAACGGCTACCAAAGCTTTGATGCTTGATATTTCTGCGTGCGTGCGTGCTGAAGTGACTGGAGACGGAGCACCCGAGCTTGGACCGAGGTTTCCAAGAAGAGCAGGCTCGCGGCATCAGCAGCAACGTGCACCGGCGGGAGAAGATTGAAGAGAAGGTTTCGCATCCTTGACCCTGACGCCGTAGCTGCGACGTGGCCCACGGGGCAAAGCACGCCGCCCAGGTGATGCGTCGTCGATGCGTGACGGTAGTTGGGGAAAATTAGGAGGCGTCACGGGCCAGCAACGGGCGACGATGGACGTTGGATATTCACAGGGTCGCGGCGTGTACATATTCGTCTGTCCATCCTTCCAACCATGCATCCATATATGAGTGTACGTAGTTGATCATAGACAGGCGCCGTTGCAGGCCGACGACGACACTTCATGTAGATGAACGTTGCAGGCACGCATGCGTAGACCCGTATCGAGAGACGTACGTTCCGAGCGTGAAGAGAGCTTCAGGGCGACATACGAGCTACAGTGCTTTGCTTGTGGCACGTCGCTGACGGCTTCTCGAAAGGGGGCAAGCCGAGAGACAGCGGAGGCAGAAGAAGGGGTGGGCGCTGTATGGCTGCCGCGGTTGAAGAGGAGGGGGGTTTTTCGGCGGGCGAGAGGAAGGGATCGGAGGCCGCCTCGCACACGCGGACTTGCGAGGCGGGGAGGTCTGGAGGGAGAAGGGCGGCAGAGCGCAAGGGACAAGCTCGACGTATGGCTGCAGCGCCAGGGGCGCACGCCGTGGTTCGCGGCCGAGAGCGACGGACGAGACGTGCTCGCGCCAGTGCGCGTACGCAGGTATGTGCGTGCAGTGCAGTCCCGTTGCGCAGGGGACGAGCCGGGGACGCTGACGAGACGATGGAAGGGGGGAGGCCCGAAACGGCTTCCCGCCGGGCGCGCAGGGATGGCACGGGACCACGCCCTCCTTGCCGAGGGAAACCTGTGGAGTGGCACTCCGTCCG